GGCATTGTTTTGCTTAATCGAATGTCTTTAAAAAGATAGCAACATAAGAGATGATTTAATGGACACAAAGTGCGTGAAATTTTACAATGTGGACAGGAGTAATCCTTCTCGAATTAAGTATTCCGACTCATTGCTCACATGTCATCTGTGACATATTCGGCTCACACGGAGACCACTTCACTTCCGGTGCAGCATATTAAGCGGCATCAACCCTTAATCCTTAATCAGTGCACAAGGATGCAGCGGCAGCAACAGCATCCTCTCTCCTCTTGTCTGTTGAAACAATTTGGCTACCTCAAGCACAGCTAAGCGTTGTCAATTTGATAAGCACAACAAACGCTTGGCCAATTTCGAAGTATTTATGCAAACACACGCACAGGACACACACGCACACAGCTGCAGAGAAACGCCCCGAAAAGGCTTTGATCCTGGAAACACAGGCCGGCAAATTTTGAGCATCTCACCCCCGGTGGATCCCCCTTCTCTCGTTTTGTGGGCCAAAAACCTATGCCTATGCCATTATCCTGAACAAACTGCAGAAACGTGAGATGGGAGAGAGCAACCCTTAGCGAGGGCTTCTCGGATTCAGATTCAGATTCGGACTCAGACTCTTACTCAGATCCTTCCCCTCTCCCTCTCTGGCGACTGCATTTAAATCCCATTTTTCAGCTGTCCCTGCTCTGCTCTCAATCTCTCCTCCATCTACCAATTCATCATCTCTTTCCTTTTGTTGTTGGCCAAAATCCTTGTCATCTTTTTGCATTTCATTTTTTGTTCGTTGTTGTATTCTAATGCAGTTCTCCACCGGGATTATATTTAGGGGTTGACTATGACGATGACGATGATGATGATGATGTTGATGCTGCTGCTGTTTCTGGTGCAACTTTTTGGCATCTCCCTCTCAGGACTTATCCGGCTTTTCGGGCTGGCAACAGTTTTCTGATGTTCGTAAAAAAAGAAGAGGTCCCCTTCTGCCACCCCCACCCGGAAAATGCCTTCCTTAGAAACTCCCACGAAAAGCGAGAAAAATCAGGGAGTGGTCGCTGTCTCATTTTTGGGCTTTTCCTGGCCTTTCAGTTATTTCGGAAAATGCTTTAGTTGCTTAGAAAATCGATTTAGGAATTCTAACTAGGGAAAGCGTCCTTCATAAGCATACTTTCGTTAATTTTGTTTAATTTTCCCCGAGTGACTTTGATTAATTTGCTTGGCTTTTGTCTATACAAAATGCCATTTCTCCCTTTGAATTTCTCTCATTTCTTTTTCTCATCCTCTCTCGGTTTCTCTCTGGCTATCGCTCTATCTCTCTTTCTCTATTAATGGCCTCTCGCTCGCACTGCAGATTTTGCAGCATCCTGCTTATCCCTTTTCGTCCCGATACACACACACACACACACACACACCAATACATGCACGTGCGTTGTGTGTGCGTGTGTTGCTGCGAGTGTCCTGTCCTGTGTGAGCTTTGAATTAAAAATGGAAAATTGATTTTTCCGGTTACTCATATACACACACAATCACATACAGTGCGTGTGGGGGAGTGTGGGTCTCAGTGTGTGTGTGTCGATGTGTGTGTGTGTGAGCTTGGCTTTCTCAAAGCCGGAAAGAAGAAAGTTCGATGCGTTTTCCTTGAAGTTGAAAAGTTTTCCGCTGCTCGTTGCTAATGACGCTCAACAATGTTAATGCCCCGACCCAGCAGTAAGCTATAATATAGTGTTACAATACTGCTGTGACAGGACAATATCAATGGCAAGCGTCCGATTTACGTGATATATCCTTTCGAATTTCCATTGCTTGTTGAGCATTTTGTGTGTATCCTTCTTATTTGGCAACACTTTTTCGATCACTGGCACACTGCAGAGGGCTATCCACGCTTTATTTGGGTTAGTTTCTTTTGAGTTAGCTGTGTGTGGCCCGGTTTTAGAGTACTCCGAGGGATCCGTCGTCATCCGCCAGCCGTTGTCCGCCATCGGTCCGGGAGAAATTGCCCGTACGGATACCCAAAGTTGACTGAAAGGCAGCCCAGGGAAGCAGCGGCCGCCGTCGCCGTCGATTTCTCGATTTTCGTCGGCTCACCGAGGGTTGCGCGCGCATTCCAATTGCAGAATATATACCTCTCCCCCGATTTCAGGGGGTTGCTTCTGCTGCTCTTGCTCTCTTTTCCTCGCGCCCTTTTCGATGGGATTTATGTGTGTCCCGCCGCTGCCGCTGACAGAAAAGTATTGGGTCTTTCTAGGGCAGATTTTTGCTCTGTGTACGGGAGTCGCGCGGAGTCGGAGCTTCCTTTGTCGAGGGTGGTTGCTGCTGATTCCAGGCAGCTTCGCTGCTTCGCTGCTCTTCCAGCGCTCTGAAATGGAAGCCACCCCCCGAGTGCATATACATATGTTCGTCCATATATATATATGTATCTATATGTATGGTTCCTATATATATATATATATATATATATATATATGATATATAGACTTTTCCAAGCGACGCAAGCGAGCGAGCAAACTCTCCGTGCTGAATTTATGCGGCGTTTTTCGTGGCACTCGGTGCACTTTGGCCGGTGCAAGTGCCATCCATCAGCAGAGGCCTCCCTACCCCCTTTAGGGCAAAATCAAATGCAAAAACAATAAGGCACAGGCAGGCAAGGCAGGCCATATGCTTTTAGCCAGGCTAAAAAGCAAAGGGTTGCCATCCATCGCATTTATACATTCTGTGGCATTTTTCTCAATGAAAACACTGACGGTTCTCTCGCTCTGAATTGCAGTTTTGTATCTACATAAATTTCAATGCAGGGGGTGTGTGTGGGTGAAAATGCAGGCCAAAGGGCAAAACGACAGGTGAGAGACACACAGAGAGACGGAGAGAGAGAGAGAGAGAGGGAAATTGTTGCCGAGGCTTTTCAGGCGCAAATCCATGCAATTTGTTGTTGTGCATTTCTCGAGTGTTTTCCTTGTTTTGCTAGACGGATCCGGCAAATTGCATTGCAATTTGCTTTTGTGGCCCTAAAGGGGAATCACCGGATTTTTTTTTTTTGTTGAATTGAGTTGAGTTTTCCATTGCAGTTTGTCATCGGATTAGAAAGTATTTTCTCCTGACAAGCTGCTTTGAGCCAAGGCTGTGGCAAAGGACATTTCAGTTGGCCACAGCAAATCCTTATTGCCGGGGGGAATAGAATGAAGATTCCAACAGCTGCATTAAACATGATCCTGTAAAGGTGTAGAATGCTTTCCTTAATTTGTAAAGTGACGCATTAATTTTTAATTTAAATCACCTTCAGGTGGGATATTGAGAAACATTAAAGTGGAGACACTTTGTTAAGCATTAAATATGTATTTGCAGCATAATTATCCTTGCTTAAATCATTAATTCTCTGACTACTAATATGTTTTAGTAAAAAACAAATAAAGAATTAACTTGGAAAGCATACAATTGCTCAAATTAATGCCTCAGTTATGGGATAGTCTCTTTCTTGTTATGAAATTATTTCCACTTGCCTTTAACTACTTAATTTACTGGGCAAAATGTAACTCGAGGGGAGGCCATAAAAAACAGGATGATGGCTCGTGGCACCAAGCACCTTCCCCGCTGTTTATTTGACGCAATTAAAATGCCTGAGGGAGGAACCTTTTGGAGGAGGAGGATGACGAGGAGAGGAGCAGGAGGTTAAGTTGTTAAGTGCGCCTAATCGAATTACATATCGCGGTGGCGACTGCTGATGTCATCGCTGCTGTCGGCCTCAAATTTTCGGCATTAATTTCCCAAGCCCAAGCCCAAGCCCAATCCCAGGCACAAGCCAAGGTCCTAACATAGGGCAAATCCTTGCCAAATGGCCGATACCCCTTACCGGTAAAAGGGCTTCTTCTTTAGCATTTCATTTTTCTGGGTCAGTAGCCATAAAATTGACAGACAGACGTCTTTTACACGTCGAAAAAAATCCTGCAGACGACGTTGCTTCGGAAAGTTCAACAACCGAAGGAGGAAAATCAACACACACACTCACACGTGCCGCAGGAAAACTCTCCCTCCTTTTGCCGCGCAGCAGCTGCGCGCTTGCCCTTCAACGTCTTCATTGAATTATTTTGCAATCTATTTTAATAAATTTCATATCCTTTGGCATTATTTCCCATTTCCTGTGCCAAAAATCAATAACGCACAACATAACGCAGCCACGATTTGTTTTTACACACACATGCGTTCAATTTAGCGCACACCCACAGGACTCACACATACTACATATATAGGGGAAAAAAGGAAAAACCTGGTCTCAATTTAAGACTCTGAAAATTGTCCCAAGCAGCAACCAATTTTGTTTTTTTTATTTCCGCTATTTTTTGTTGGGATTTTCCTTTTGCCCGCTGGAATCCCCGCTTTTTCGGATTGGTGGAAAGCGCAGGCGCCCTGGAAAATGAGTTTATGCTTTCGGGATGTGGAAGGAAGGAGCGAACGAATGAGCGCAGGCATTATTAAGGGGCGGCAATGTCCACACACAAAAGGTACAGCAATTTGCCGAAGGGCATTAACAAAACATATTCATATTTAAGTAAGTTATTTATTTTGTTTCCACTTAGTTACAAGACGGACAGGCATTCGTGCTGAGTTTTCCTCTATATTTCATGTAGGAAAATTGCTAGGATTTGGACTGCGAAAAGGGGTTTGATTTGTTGGGTACCTTTTCCTTGTTTTTGGAATTGAAGAGAATATTTTAATCATAAAATACATTAAATTCATGTTTATTGTTTAGAGATAGGGAATTTTACAGATTTTCTTTTAAAAAATATATAAATAAATATAACATTTCGTCCTTTTGGTATTTGACTTCTACATAGTTTTTACACACAGTTCTTGTTTCTACATGTATTTAAAATAAATTGAAAAGTTCTGCTAAAACCCGCTGCCAGGCGCCACTTATAAGTATGTCAATTTGTTAAGCAATCTACATGTAGAGTTTATGTAAAAACGTGTAAAGTGAATATTTTGTAAATGTTTTATTGAATTAATTGAAGTCCTTTCCGTTCACATTATTAAATGGGAATTTATTCCTTAATCTAAGCTATGCTTGAAGCTTAGATTAAAAAACAACCTCGCTATACTTAAAATTTATATGCCTTACAGACCAGTCAATTTTAGGTGTATATAGATTGTAGTTATAACTTGCCCAAGAAATCTCACTTCCATCCTCGTAACAAGATCAGGGGCTTCATTCCCTCTCCTGGCCTTCCGCTGGTCAGTGTTTTTTGTATGGTTTCCCAACTCCGGTTACACTTGCCAAGCCAGTTTAACTTCCTATGCACATATCCTTCCGTTTCGCCTTTTCATTTCGATGGTATCCTAGCGGATCCGAAAGCCTACGGTCAAACTTATAGCCGGTAATTGAATGGTCAGACTTATGTAAGACGTGCTGGAAATGCTGATCTGACCTTTTAGCCAGTCCAGCTTCACTTCTTTTCCTCAACTGTAAAGACAGCGATATATAAAATGATCCCATATTAAAAAATGCTGCGTCTTCATATCATAAAATGTGAAAATTAGCTTTTTTCGGTGTATCTTAGGCTAAAACTGTGCACACAGTAATGGTCAGGGTAGTGAGAGCGATGTGGGCGGCCAATACTGAAGCACTAAGGCCATTACCATCATTATTATTGTCGTCATTCGGAACTGGAAAGCATTGAAAATTTGCATCTAAATCGGTTTTAAGCATGAAAATTTTCAACGCTTCCCAATTACGAATAAAAACGATAATAATTTGGGAGCTGAGGATAGCTATTTTCTTTCTAAATTAAATTATAATCGAAGAAACGACTGGGAAACGCTGAAAATCCAAACAAAAACATAACTCACATGACGGACCATCCGTGTTGCCCTGTCTGGCCATGATCGCCTCCGGTGGCACCGGGTAGTCATCTCGACCGCCCCACTGTGGATCCGTTCACCTGGATTATACAGTTTTTACGTTTTAACGTGAAGGGGGACTTACCTTGCGACTTTTGGGCTTGTACCAGCGTCCGCTGCGCGTCTCCAAGTTTTCACATCGAGCAGAGTCCTTCGTGAACCACACATCGTCCTTTTTCAAGCCGAGTGAAATTATGACGAAAATTTTCATAAACAAGCCGAAGGTGCATATCGCTATAATTGGCATGACCTGCGGGTTATTTATGGGGTTGTATCTTTTAGATATGCATATCCAGGCAATTCTTTTACATAAAATGTATAATATAACAAGAAAAATTTTCTGAATAGATAAAACTTTAATATCAAATAAGCAATAAAATAGTCCAATAAATGCGTTAATAGTCCACTTTTCTGTCGTAAATCATTCAAAGTGTTATTTCTCTACACTCTACTTCTTAAGTGGATGACTTTCTACATCCCTTTGCACTCGAATCTTCTAATTGCCAGATTTACCAACAACGTCCCCAAAAGAATTAGAAAATAATATTTAAAGTTAAAAATTCAATTCAAATGACAGTTAAAATTGCATATCGATATTGTTATCGATATTTAGATTCAGTGTTTTTTTTTTCAAATTTTAAACTGCAATCATCATCATCAATCCTTCATAAAATTATATAAGGTATTCTTTTCGAAAAAATAAGCCACGAACTAGGGGCTGTTTTAGTGTAAGCACAAGCTATCAAAATAAGGCCCTTAAACCGAACGATTTAAAAGCCGACGAGACTACCTTTAACCATCGTACCATGCCTTCGGCTACCTGGCCCTGACAGCTGTTCCCGACTTCGACGATGACAGGAAAGGACGGCACGACATTCGGTATTTTGAGTTATTCGAATCCAACATCTCAAGCTGCGCAGTCGCAACCCAGAGGAAATTTGAAAGCAAAATAAATAAGTAAAATAAAATAAACAGTGCCGGTAGTACCGCTGTCGTGTTGTTAGAACATTTTCGTTAACGTTTTCGGCTTTATTTACGGCTTTTTGTTTTGTCGAAAAAGGGAACGAAAAAAACAGTAGGCATTGCCATTAGCAACAAAAAGTGAAGCCGAAACGAAAAGAAAAAAGAAGTGAAAAACGGAGAGAAGGTCGAAAGTCAGACGACGAAATTAAGCAAAAGAAGAAAACGTTTGTGTTTTTTAACAGAATAGGCAGCTATTTCAATAAATAATCGATACTAAAGCTACAGGGAACTATAAAACTATAAAAGCCAAACGAAACCAGAGAAAAACAGCTCCGAGAAAAAAGTGTGCTACGAAGAAACCTTCAACATTCAGATAAAGCAGGAAATTCACGCGCTACCGGAAGGCGCCACCATGCTGCATCCCCAGCTGCCACCATCGCAGACCTCTGGCGAGGATCATCTGCTCAAACCCGACCCCTTCTTCTTTGCCCACAGCAATCCCATTGAAAACGCAGCCGCTGCTGCCGCCGCCGCAGGTCTCATTGATCCACATCGCGATCTGCATCAGGCCCTGGTGGCCTCCATTGCCAACAACGGGGTGTCCGCCATCGGCGGTGGCCTAACCACAGCCGCGGTGCTCAAGAGTGCCACACAGCAGCAGCAGAACGCGGTGTCCGCCGGAGCCGGACAGGAGCAGCAGACGGCCAGCCAGGAGCAGGCCCAACAAGCCGCTATGGCACTGCTCAAGGAGAACGTGAACGCCTCGACCGGAATGGGCTCCAACGGCAATGGACAGCAGCAGCAGCAGCAGCAGGGAGGAAGCAACAAGAGTGGCTCCTCCGGCCGCTCCACTCCCAGCCTGAGCGGAGGCAGTGGCTCGGATCCCGCTCCCGGCAAGCTATTCGTCGGCGGCCTCAGCTGGCAAACGTCGTCGGACAAGCTGAAGGAGTACTTCAACATGTTCGGCAGCGTCACCGATGTCCTGATCATGAAGGATCCCATCACCCAGGTAAGCGGAGAGCCTTCCATTATGTCTTTCCTAGCTATTATTCCCTATTATACCATTATATTTTGAGTTCCATAATCCCCTGCCTTCGGGTTTACAGCTATACACTCCCTCCTATTGATATATGTATATCGGTCCATCCTCTTTGTGATTTACCTTTGGCACAGCTGCAAGCTGCAGGTTCTCCTTCATTTTGGTCTCTTCTCGTTTTCGGTATTCCCGGGTTTAGAATTACAGTTCTTAATTCTTTTCGCTTCGCTCTCCTTCGCCTTCAACGGCCACAACGTGCCAAAAACAAAGGAGCGACGAGGCAAAAAAGGCAGAGGAGGAGCAGGAAAACCCAGAACCCAATCGAATGTAATCAGGTTTTATATGTAGATCAGCTTGTCTCTCCGGGGTTGATCCACTCGGATTATTGAGACACGAACGCCGAAGAATTATTTCAATTTCCCTGTCATAATTTGTATGCGGGACTGCTATCAATTTACACTTCCACTGAAGTGGCTTTACACTTTACAGCAGAGCTATAAATTATATTACAAATATCAGAGATAATCAGACATGTCAAAGTGCAAACTGTTCTAAACAAGGATTCCCTTTAGGGAAAACCTTGCAGAATCGAAGGAACTTAAGATTACAAATTGAATTAGAAATTGAAAAGGAAACTAATGAAAGTCTTATATTCTATTTAATGTCTCTCCCATTAGCTTACCAAGAAACTATAATAAATATACATATTGAAACATCTTTTCACATGAAGAACTTTACAATGAATGCTAGATCAAAGAACAATTGTTTCCTTAGAAATGTCAAACGTAAGCAGACAAATTTTTCGGACATTTACCCAATGTCTTGGTATAGTTTCCCTTCGAGAAGCAGAGTTATTGCCCCGGAAATTGACTTTCGAAATGGTTAATGCGTTGGGCAATTTGTCGGTTCGATAAGCGGACATTATCCATGCATCCTACATGTATTTTTTTTTTTTTTTGTGGATACCACGTACTACATGCCACATACTACGATTCATCATCGTAGTGGCCGTGGCTCCCCATCGAAAAAGAGCGCGCGCGCGCGCACTCGTTGCTCTTGGGCAATAAAAATATAGCAGCTGCCGCATTGTTCCCGAGTCCTGTTCCTTCGCAGGAGCAGCTGTTTCTGCCACTACACGTTAGTTGGGAGGGTTCCCTGTATGTTCCCTGTATGTTCCCTGAATTCGGCACAGGACAACGTTGTTTTGTGTACCTGGGGTGGTTTGCCGTCGAGCCAATTGCGCAATTACGGAATGAGTTGGAACTACGACTGCATGATAGGGCAGTTAGCGATCGGTTAACGGGGTTGTCGTTGTCCTGTCCCCTCTCTCAAATAAACTCTAAAAGATATATATACACACACACACATAGCGCAGAAAACACCTTTTGTCCCTTCCCTCCTTGGAAAAAAGGAATACGAAAAAAAAAAAAAAAAAAACAAGAAACAAACAAAGGAATGAAGAAAAACAACAGAAGCGAAAGAAGAAACTGGTTTACCAACTGTCTCCGGTGAGCCCTACGATCGTTTGTGAAGACGATCCTGGCGTTAATCGTGTTCTGTAGTCCATAAGCACCTAAGATCGATCAATTCTATAGCTAGCTTTATGTAGTATACTAAATATGTACGAACTACTTAATTAAAACACATAATTTTAATCAACGTGAAACCACAAACCAAAGTGAGGAATCCCTCAAGAGTCAAGGACAAGGCCGGAAGCCACGAAAGGAGCCACCTGGTCCCAGGTAACCACGAGATGCCAACCACAGGATGACGATCCAGCGACAGCTTAGGTACATTATTATAACAAAAAGTATATAAACAAAAAAAATCAAGAAAAATAAAACGCCAAGGACTTTAACCTCGTACGCTTAGCGTACTTAAATTACTCAAGACTCTGGCGCATCGTAATTCGTATTTCGTATAACTCTGAGCAATAATAATGTAACTGTACTCGTATCTCTAATTGAATGTACTCGTTCTTGTACTCGTACTACTTCGCATTGTGTACTTGGTTTACTCTTAGTGTTTCTCTCACCCAGCAACAAAAAGTATTTGAAAAAACAGTCGATTTATTCACGCATTGATCTTAAGCAAGCCTCGAAGAAAGCAAAACAAACTAATAACGAGTAACCTATAGTAATCAATTCAAGCTCTAGTTGGATGAGGCGTGTTTTACCCCAATAATAATACCCACTTTGCTACCCGAGAACCCACCTTGTTCCCAACTTAGCGCAAGATGAGAGCCTCAATCGTCCATGGCAACCTTTCTTGAATTGATTGTGTAACATAAATAAGAACCCTAGATTAGCATAATATGTACCACCCAACACATACGTATTTGATACGATATATATATTATTACCAGCCCCCCAGTAATCGCTAGACATTTGTTATATTTAACCCATTATGCAAAATTCTGTTTGTGTGTGTTTAGTTGATGCTTTATATTATTTTGTTTGGCATTATCGATTACATCAATAATCTCGCTCCATATAAGCAATCAAATGCGTACCATATATGTTTTTAAGTTTTGTAGTTCGAATATCTATCGAGCAAATGTTTCATTTTGTTGCGTTGATATATATATATTTAATTTGATTATTGGACCTTGTTTGTATTATCATATTTTTTGGAAGAAAGTTTAGTGCATAGAAAATCCCCATATTGGTCATAGGAATATGAAAAACTATAGGTCCTGTATCTGTAAGTAGATAGTCCCAAGTACGTTTCCCTCAACAATTCCCCAGTCAATGAACGAATCTCCACCAGGGTTAAACTATTTACTAGAACTTATATACATATCTTACTCTCTAGGTAGGTAGTCCCATAGCTTTCATCTCTCTATTTCTCTATGGAATTGTGTACTATAAATCGATCTACTCTGAATATATGCCATAGGCTTAAGCAACAACTGTATTCCCCACCCATTACTACTGTAATATACTACGAAAATTATTAATTAGATTAAGCGAAAATATATCACACATTCGATACTCATTCTTTGTAAAAAAAAACGAAGACTTAAGTAATTATTAAGCAAAACTAACCGAAGAAAACAAATTGTATGGCAGAAACGGGTTAAATTTCATTTTGAATAAGAAAAGAAAACAAAACAAATGCTATAGAACATTCTTAGTCCATATTATTAGATCATTACTACTCTATTTATTTTAATTTAATAGTGCGTTTTGGAACATTTACTAATTGATCATTGAAATTAGCTGAAATTTGTTAAATCGCTTAAATTTGAAACTAAAACGCACTAGTTTTCTAATACTTCCTATCACACGTCGACATATGTAATTGCCACACACGCATTTGTATCCTTGAATTGAGTTCGTATTCACAGCCAAGGTGAACGGAAGTCTTTGATATCCTCCAGTTTTTCGTGTATATAATATATATCTATGCCACCTGTACCAACATATCTGTATATGTATCTATATCTGGGCTCTAGAGGGGTGTCGCATCAGTATAACGAGAACACACGTTGAATGCATACTATATTTCGTAATGTTTCTCTGATATATGTACGTTCCAGCTTAGCGAATAATGACCATTATAACGATCGATCTACTTGCGTATAAATATTGGTATTCCGTTAACAAAGCAAAAGTATCTTTAGACAAATCTTTAGTTCGATAGTTGCAAAACTTATTTTATGTTATTTGGATTACAATTAAATTGAAACTCGTTTGTGTTTACTCCACAAAATCAGAACAAAATGGAAAGCAATGCAAATTTGATGAGCAAAAAGCGTATAAAGTCGATCAAAAAAAAAACGCCATCTACATACCTGCATAATATAAACTGTATACCGTATCTGTGTTTACATATATATATTTATATATCTATCTATATATAATTTTTAAATATATATATTTGTGGAAGATCGAGTTCCGGTCGAATTGATATTGATTCTTACTTTGTTGGACTTTTGCTAACGTTCCGTAGGACATTTTACGATTATTAATCCTAGTTATATATAACTACAACTACAATTTTGTAATTTAGACTTAGTCCCTCTAACCGAATTCTCCAATAATTGCACCCTGCTAATCTATCCGTATTTCTATTTGTTTCTCTTTCGCGTTCACTCCCACAGCGCAGTCGCGGCTTCGGCTTCATCACATTCCAGGACCCCTCCACCGTGGAGAAGGTCCTCAAGGTGCCCATTCACACCCTCGATGGCAAGAAGATCGATCCCAAGCACGCCACCCCAAAGAACCGGCCGCGTCAGGCCAACAAGACCAAGAAGATCTTCGTTGGCGGCGTTTCCCAGGACACCTCCGCTGATGAGGTCAAGGCATACTTTAACCAGTTCGGAGCCGTCGAGGAGACGGTCATGCTGATGGACCAGCAGACGAAGCGTCATCGTGGCTTCGGGTTCGTCACCTTCGAGAACGAGGATGTCGTGGATCGCGTCTGTGAGATCCACTTCCACACCATCAAGAACAAGAAGGTTGAGTGCAAGAAGGCCCAGCCCAAGGATTCGGTCACACCGGCCGCCCAGCTCCTTCAGAAGCGCATTATGCTCGGTACCCTGGGCGTCCAGCTGCCCACAGCTCCTGGCCAATTGATTGGAGCCCGAGGAGCCGGTGTCGCCGGCATTAACCCGCTGGCCATGCTACAGAATCCCACACAGCTGCTGCAGTCGCCGGCAGCAGCCGCCGCTGCCGCCCAGCAGGCTGCCCTCATATCACAGAATCCGTTTCAAGTACAAAACGCCGCCGCGGCCGCCTCGATGGCCAATCAGTCGGGCTTCGGCAAGCTGTTGACCACATATCCGCAGACGGCGCTGCACAGCGTCAGGTGAGTGTCCAGAAACACCGATCCCGATTGGATACTAACTAACTAACTAATACCCTTTTCCAAACAGGTATGCACCCTACTCGATCCCCGCCACCGCCGCCACTGCCAATGCCGCCTTGATGCAGGCCCATCAGGCGCAGAGCGTGGCTGCCGCTGCCCATCACCAGCAGCAGCAGCAGCAACAGCAGCAGCATCACCACCACCACCAGCAGACCCACAGCGCCCAGTTGGCCGCCGCCCAGCAGCAGCAGCAGCAGAATCATCAGAATTCCGCCTCGCAGGCGCATTCGGCAGCAGCGGCTGCCGCCTTGGCGGCCAATGCCGCAAACGGAGCCGGCGCAGCTGGTGCACATAGCCTGGCCGCTGCCGCCCAACAGGCCGCCTTGGTGGCCGGCAATCCCCTGAATGCAGCCGCTGCCGCCGCCGCCGCTGCTGCCAATCCGGCGGCCGCTTACTCCAACTACACTCTGGCCAATGTGGACATGTCAAGCTTCCAAGGCGTCGACTGGAGCACCATGTACGGCATGGGCATGTACGTCTAAATACCAAGGCGATTCGAGCGTTTTGTGTTGGTAATTTGAATGAAACACACACCACACTTCACACCAACCACATGCCCCACTCACATAGCCCCCATCCACATACACAGCAAAACACTACTCATCCGAAGTTAGTTTTCCTTTGAGTTGGCTTAGCTATTAGGCAGGCAAATATTAAGTATTATATTTAAGGCGCTCCCGGGGCGGCGAGTTGAATAATAACAAATCATAAGCAATACAAGAAACATATAAAATAAAAATATGAAATGGAAGCTAAGCGAAGCGAGAAATCAAGGAAAAACAAAATTCAAACCAAAAAAAATAATTAGAAGAGAAGAAATAGGAGGATAACCACATTAAAAACCACCGATTGTGATTGCGTTTAAATGTAGCCGTTAATATATATAATTTTAGTGCATAAAAGAGTACCATTAAAAACCTAAACATAAATTTTAACGAAACAAATATTAATAAAGAGTAAATATAAAATCATATTTATAAACAAATCAGAAAGAGAGGAAGGAATGGAAGGCGTGAATCTTATAAGTTAACCAAGAGATAGGCGCTCATTAACATTGAAATACAATTATTTTAGTTTTTCCAACTGAAAGGAAAAACTCCTGCGAAGGCAGTATTAAGTAACGGAAAACGAAGAACTTTAAAGAAAACATTTTGCTCAAGACAAAGAGTTATACATTAATGTTAATCAACTAACGCGATCAAAAGCCCTAAATGAACCATATTTAGACGTTTAGTTGAGTTCGAATTTAATTCATACAACTGAGTTATATTTACCCTATCAACCCCCATACATCACACCTACAAAGCACACACTTTCCGTACAACATCGTCATCCTCCTATTATCACTCTCCTATGTACTACCCTGTTCTTTGTACTTAATATAGTTACAATATACTCTTTAAAACCCACAACGAGCAAATCTATATTTTGTTTCGTGTTCTGTGTGTGACTTTGACTTTAATTTGATTTAGTTGTAAAATTAGCATAGTCTCCCCCAATCTCAACCATTTTGTAGCGAGTAATTTAATAACATCTTGGCATTTGCATCTATTTTTGATTTCGACCAAAAGAGAGTACCCCATAGCAGTGGCTTTTCTTTTGTAGTCCGTAAGAAACCATTAAGTGAGAGATCCTGAACTAATCTACTTTTATTTTTCAACCCACTTCCTCATCATTTGCATAACCATCGATCAAGAAATCATCTCATTATAAACCAGGTAACACTTTACTTTACTTTAACTGTAGTTTATTGTTTTAAAACATAATATATATGGCACAATCTTAGTTCTTAATTATATTTTGTAATTATTACCCTTGTGTAGCATTTGCATTTGATATATTTTGCATTCGACAAGTACTACTACTACTACTTCATCCATTGAAACCAACAAACAGAAATCGAAGCAAGGAGGGTATCCAAGGACAACCGCTCCTGATTATTAGTTAAGTATTTTGTCTCATTTGAATCGCTTGCATGTTTGAAGTTAGTTTTAAATCCTAGTTTTTCATTTGGAAAGTAATAATTTGCGTATGTAAATATCTAGTTTATGTACACATTACACACATACACACATTATATGGAAAAGAACAATAAAACAACATTTGAAGTAACTATTGTGTTTAATAATAAAAAAAGAAACAAACAAGCAAGAAACTTTGCTAAAGATTTGAGCAAACATTTGTGTTTTCTTATTATTTGTACTGACACAATTCGATTGTATATATTATATATATTTGTATCGTATTTGATTTGATTTTACCTCGTATTAATTGTATATCTTTTGTGTTGTGCTGTGCCCTCTCTGTCTCTCTATTTTTCTGATCCCATCACCCATGTGTAGAATTTAATACATTTCGATGCATTTGCCAGTACCGAAAACAAAACAAAAAAGAAAGTAAACGATTGTTTGTGCGGAGAATTGTTCTTAATTCCTGTAGAATTTGCGCCTCTACGCGGGGTGAGTATTATTATCGTTTTTTGTATACCAAAGATTTTGAATATTAACTGGGAAATCATTATACTTTTCAAGACTCGTCGTCCCATCATCTTCATATGCAGAAACTAATTTATTTATTTATTTATTGTTTACGCTTAAGACTCTTTAACACATTCCAAAACACATGCTATGGTGCCATTTACTTATCGATATTAATATTTAATTTTTTTTACCCAATTCCTCTGTCAGATCTCGATCTCAGAACCATTATTGCTTTTAGCATAAGATTGAATTACCCTGCCAGTCCAAGCTAAAATATGAGAAATTCCTTTAATCACACTACAAAAACTTTGTTCTATTGACATTTATTACAAACGAAACAAAAGCCAAAAACAAAATAAAATTATTTATATTTGATTAATGCATTTTATATTTATTTATTTATAATATTAGCTGCGAACGCAAGAAGTCAAAAAATGCTGTAACAGTTGCCGCCTATGTTCATTGTAATAGTTGGAGAATAATTTATAATTTCGTTGTACATTTCCTTATGCTTCAACATTCAACATATTGAAACCGACCAAAGTCGGAAGATTTACTTAGTTCTTTGTACTTGTAACAGTTGCAACAGTCTGAATCCGATATATAAAACAATATACCTCCTATATCCAATGAAATGTTTTGTTTTCTATACTCTCGTACCAAAGATATATACCCAAAGTAGTAGCTTGCTAATTTTGATATATAGTAATCAGATCGAACATACTTATATAGCGCTCTCTCTCTATCTATAAATATATACATATACATATATCTATTTTTTGATTACCAAAAACAAATTGTTGAATTGCTCACTAAGGACGGAGCTGGCTTATAAGTTATGAATTGGAACTGAAAGTCAATAACTATGGTGAATCGGATATGTAGAGTCCAAATGGATAACTTATCAGTCGGCCCCCGAATATCAAACCAAAAATCTTAAACAGAATCAGTACATTTGCTTTGTTTTCGTGTCGTGTAGCGTCGCCAAGAGTTTCTTCTGTATATTCTGCGCAAAAATACTTAGTTGATTTTCTATTTCATCATTTATCGGGCCATCTCAACTAATATGAAAAGTGAACTTGCTGTAATATGTATATAAACCAACATTTAAACACTCGAGTATTGGAGTTTCTTTTCGTTTTACCTCGTAGGTTTACTACCAACATATTTAGATACAACATAGTAACTTAATCTCCTATTTAATAGATATTTACCCACACAACAAACAAAGCATGATGAAACGTGTACAGTAGTCAATTGAGTTACTTCCTTTATACAATCTCCAAGATAATGCAGAGACAACAACCCCATATCATCTGCATCTGAGATCCCAGATGTTCCCCCATTAATTAGCAAGGCATTAGCATTAACTATACTTACATACATACTACCTACATCTACTTACATACACACATACATCATATGACAATAAGATCAACTGTGTTTCAGCATTCAAGTGTCAGTATTCGTAAACCAAATTACCTAACAAACTGAGCAAAGTACTTATACTCACTACTATATGTATTCGAATCGACATGGCAGGACGAGCCCGATCCGAGGGAGCCTTTTGGATTTGCACTCGGATCGGGCGGAGGCGGTTTTAGCAATTTGAATGTAGTTGGGTTTAGATAGCGCAACTCAAGTGGCGAAAACTTTATAGATATTTACATAAAGATACAGATACATATATATACATACGATGATATTTAGCAAGACCGTGATATATTCAATTAGCAAAACCGAAACAAAAAATTATATATTATATGTATATATCAATTATATATTGAGGCGCGTCTCTCGAAATGTGTCAAATTGCATACTAAGAGTAGAGTTTTTGGTATAAGCAGGAAAACTAATTACAGAGAACAAAGGGAAGAAAAACATTTCATCAACTCTTGTTGTGAAGACGGTTAGAGAAAACAACAACAACGCATATCACTTTGATGGTGTCAACCGAGAGTTTTCGAGTTTTACCCAAGAAAACCACGTAAAGAAATAAAAACTTTGTTAAATCGTATAAAAAGGTTTTCTTTCCAAGACAGAGATTCTTCAGAGAATCCAGACAACGAGTTTTCATTTTGGATATTGTTTTAGATGTGCGACTACGACGAGTACATCTAACAAGTAGGGTAGAGTGTTGATTTGATTGACTAATGAGGACCAAATTTATAGCGAAATTCAGAAATCAGGTTATTATATATTAGATCCTAAATAAATCGAAATCGAATAATAGTGGTATTAGAACATTTTTGATTTCGTAACCTGGCATTTTTTGGCTTTTTGCTTATAATTTGTCGTTGTTTTGTTATCATTTGTTTAACTTATCACCGAAGCGCTATAAACTACACTAGCCCTAATGCAAAACACGCCAAAACACACATACACACAACAAGCTAGTCAATTGATGTGCATTGGCACAAATTATTTCATTAAAACTTGTCTAAAACAATGAAAAACCATGATGGTAAGTAACTCGAAGAACTAAAACCCAAAAATCGATCACAATAAAATCTAAAAGCAATTATTTTCCCGTACTAAGCCGGGAAAATATAAAACAAAGCAACAAACGAAACATATAAAAATCACATTTAAAATGATGCTAAGAGAATTCTTTAATTTAGTTGATTGAGAATTAGTTCGTAAGCTTACAATTAAGTCCAAGTGAACGTGTTAAATAATTTCGAAGCAATGCAGCGAAGTCTTCAAGAGATTATTCGACATACAAGCGCTAAATATATTTATCAATTGCTAAAATTATATATTAAATGCATAACATATTAATTAAGACAATGAAAAGTGGCTACTTTTGCTCATTTCAAATGCTTAACGAAATGCTAAAATCAAAGACAACAAGTCGTATTGAAACCTAATTTAAGTGTTAAGCAAACAAAATTTAAATATACCATATAAAAAATAAAACAAAACAAAACAAAATATATATACTTCAAAAAGGAACACGTTTTCTTATATATATGTAAATGTAGTAAGGAATGATTACTTTTACGGGCTCGTAACATATCAATTATACTGAGCTGTATTTTGAAAAGAAAAGCAAATCGAAACGAACGAATTCAACACCAAGTTCAATTTTTATGCATTGATGCAACCGAGGATTTTTGATAAGGCCTAAAAAATAAATAAGAGAATAATATAACTAAGGTGAGTAAAACCGCTAACGAAAATTTCAGCAGAAAGCCTTGCCAAGACTTTCCTAAAAGAAACGAAAAAACATAACTTAGACTCGTCTTCCAGCAACTAATTGACATGACAAAAGTTCTTACACCAATAGTGACAAGGGGAAAGTGAAAGTTAGTTATGAGGAGAGTCCTTTTTTTTTGCCTACTTAGCACCCCCGATGTTTTCAAAGCAATTTCAATTTTAAGGGGAAGACAGAGCTCAGCTTTTGGCTAATACTTGTTAGACGTAATCAATCAGTACAATTTTTGCAACGAGGAATTTTAAATGAACCCTATGAAAAGGAAATGTTGTAGAACTTTCATTTCACATATTAAGTTGAGAGATTTCCTCGCTTATAAAGATCCCCCCAGCCACAGATTGATTTACCTAAAAATCTTACTAACAAATCAGAAGCAGAAGGTCTTCTCACTAACTGTTGTAAATTTGTTTCTCCAAATACAAAAATATATGTATGAAAGATGAAAGTCAAACTATATACAAAATAAGCAAGTGCATTATATTGAACAAACTTGGTAAATAATTTGAACGCTAGTCGTAAGTTTTCACATATATATATGATATAACTTTTAGGCCATAAGCGAACCCAGTATGAAAACCCCTTGAATTGAGTTTGGCTTGGGCTGAGAATCGTAGCCATAGATCCGAGAGAATGCATATATTCGATGGGCGTATCAGCTTAAAGTTTATACATTTGGTTATTATTTGTTTAGCCTGTAACGGAAACAGATATATATACATACATATATTATATACAACGCCCCGTATCTTGTAACTCTGTAACATGTAACTACTGTCGCTCTATTTCTCGCTCTATACTTGTAGCGATGTTTAGACACTCATATAAGTATATATATGTATACTGAAACACAATATATAATTCTTTCGATATATACAAAGGACATGTAAACGGTATTTACTCTTTTAGCCTAACAAATCCTATAAAACCCAACCCGAGAAAAATCAAACAAATTGCTGACAAACAAAATATATAATGTGAACCCCCTTTGTGTAATTTTCCTATTGAAAAACCTCTTGGCGTAAAACCTTTTTGAATTGAAACGAATCGAAACGAATAAACGAAATGTGAAAGCAAATTTTACAAATAAAACCTCTGTATTTGATTTAAAATAAATGGAATACGAGACAGAAATGATCTGGAAAAGATTCCTTGTATGTAATATAAAGTAGTTTGCACGAAATATTTTTATTCCTGTATAATGCACAAAAAAAAACCAAACTAAAGTGTCTGTATAACATATTGTATTGTTAATGTCTAACGTAAGCTTAGCTGTAATAATTAATAATCGATACGAATGGTAATCAATTAGTTGATAGTTGAATTAGAAACCACCGTCATATTAGACTTTGTAAAATGTACTTGTATAACGTACTCTCCGTTTCGAACTTGGTACCACTTAATCCCTAATCTTAACAGTAATGGTTAACGTAAAAGTAAACTTAAATAATTGCCTAATTAGTACACGTATTGATACTTATTTGAAAAACACTCAATTCATTTATTTGTAGATACAGAACATGCAATTTAGTTTATTTAAACCCGGGACTCTAAATATTGGAATAATTGTAGAAACGACCAAAGAAGGTAGATCCTTGTTTGGAATGAAAAATAAAATGTAAAACAAAGTTAGGGTTCCGGGTAAAATATTTTCAGTAGAATCATTCACTTAAGTTTTCTCAGTTACATTAGTTTTTAAAAGGCAAAGAATGCGTATTGGATTTGAATTTAGTTTTTACTGTATGATACCTTTAGAATAATACTGCAGTAATTTTATTTATATCCTTCTGATTTGTACATACACAGCGAGAAGTGGTACCCAATCTTTAATTTTTCTGTCAAAAATTATCATTTGCTATATCCTAGGACTTAGGACACGCAGAAGGCAATGCTGGTTTATGATGATATACAAAGAAATCTTAACTCAGATCAATGATCAGAGCATAAGAAGCGAAGAAAATTCGATGTAAGAAAATACATACATATGCGACAATACCCTTTTTGTGTGAACTCAAAGTTTGATAGAGTTTATCCTCTGAACGAAAGGTAAATCATATGATTTAACAATTAACTGTCGGATATTACGTAGGTGTTTAATTGGAGGAGCGAGGAGAACGCATAAGCAATATAAATGAAAACATATATAACTTTGATACCGATGTGTTAATGTTGAGGTCAACTCAAATACTGAATCTATATAAAAATATATATGAGTATATATATATATATATTTGTATTTCGAAAGTGCTTACATCTGGCACGATCTTGAGAATTTAATTGAAGAATATTTAAGACCCAGAAAAAGCTAACATTAGAACCTAAGCGCCGAGTTAAAAGACGAACCAATCTAACGTTAAAATCTACACACTGAGAAGGTATTGTGTATATTGGTCGTAATAAGAATGAATATTAATCTATAACGAGGATAATTTCTCAAGTTCAATGTTTTACGTTGCAAGTGTTGGTCCAACACGAACATATTATATGCGAAATACCAGCAAAAGATCTCCGAGCTGGAGAAGATGTTTTAGAAATGATTTCTATGCCATTTCCAAAGTTGGTTGCCCTTAGCTTCTTATGCAGTATATATATAAATACTATATTATTGAAACGTATATATTACATAAAGTATTCATAGATAACGTATAGATTTGATTAGAGCGTAGAACATGCGAACATACATGCACACTCATTCACACAGAAAAGACATTGATTGGTATTGTGTAAACTTACATTTGCGTATAAATTTGCTGTTTACCCACACGAGACTCGAAACAAACAAATCTCATCTTAAATGTTGCAGCGTAATTAACAGATTAATTATATATACATACTATATATATAAATATGTATATATATATACATATACAAATATACCACAATAAATGTTTCACATAAAATAATATTTGCTCTGTAGTTTTAACCGATTTAAGTTTCGTGCATTTTTCACATCCCTACCTACACTTTTATTTTGAGTTTGTATCTAAAAATATTGCGCGTGTAGTTAGTCTGGTGAACATATGACCTTTATTTCTATCCTTTGTCTATCTAAAACACTAATTAACAGAATTTTTTAGTTTGGCACCCAGTTACTAATGAAATCTTCAATTGACCTTTACAAAAACCTACTTAGAACCGCTCTAAACGTCTGTTAGAGGCACCTAATGTAAGCATAGAAACGTATATAGACACCTTTTGTCACAAACACTTAGTAATTGATAATTGATTAGTTAACACAAGTTACTTATTATACGCAATAAATATGTAAGGCGTGATTTAGGACCTAAAGGTTTCTGACTTACCCCCCAATGGTGCTTAATGGCCGCTACAGAGAATACAGTTGGTACTTCATCTATAAACGGTACGAGACGCGGCCCTGCAAGATACATTAAACTTTAGATCGTTATATTATCTCCTTTTCAATTCGTTACTTACTTCTAAGTAAGTAGGTGCGTCTTGGCGGCGGTGTTGGCTTCATCTATGGTGCGGATCGTATCAAATTAAATAAGAAATAGGGAGATGGTTCAATAAGCTGGCACTCGGCATCCAAAACATGCTTACATTTGGCTTTAGTAGGAAAGGAATGCGTGCTGCATTGATGAGACGAAGCGCCATTTTGCTAAAACTAACTAGTCCGGTTAAAATTACAATTTAGTTGCAAAATGCGTATCCCAAATGTATGTCCAAATATTCTAGCCGAATCGGAATTATATCATCACATCCGAAATTTGGGTATAGACTGATTTGTGGAATACTACAAAATTTTGACGTTCTCTGTCTATTGAATTCCTACAGGTTGCTATATATGTATACATATATAGATGATTAAACAAATGCAAACTTGAGTAAGTATTTATTTTGACCTCAAATCTCGAAAAACAATAACTTATAAAAACTTATAATTTTTAAGCGAAAAAACATATTATGAAGTTATATAATTCAAAACAAAAACGAAAGCTAACCGCGAGCAGGGTGGCAAATATGAGCTGAGGCTCTGATCTGTGCTATGAGTTAAACATTAAGTGAAAATAATGGGATTGAGTGAATACAATAGTTTGCACCAAGTAATTCCTTCATCTGCAGCCTCCTGTTCGCCAGGTACAGGAATTTCAGAAATTAAAGAATTTTTACTGAAAATAAATAGTTTAAATAGTTGATTAGATGCCGCCACGTCAGTAATAAATATCAATGATCAATAAAAATTTAAAAAAAAGAATACAATTAATCTTCCTCCTACCGTTTCAGTTCGCCTGGTACTTCAGATCCAGAAGTTGACGATTTTGTACTGAAAATGACGAGATTAAAGCCTTGTGTTTGCCTACATCAACAACAATATATTTTCTACAATAACATCTCATTAGCAACAACAACAATTTTCAAGTACAACAACGAAATTCAAAAAACATTAATTTAACCGCCAAATTTAAATTCAAATTCAAATAGACTATAAGTTGCCGCCCTATCAGTTAACCGAATAATTTGAATTTGAATTTGAATTTGGCGGTCAGTTGCGCCAGTTGAGGCCCTCCTGCCGTTTCTGTTCGCCTGGTACTTCAGATTCAGAAATTGACGATTTTGTACTAAAAATGTCTTGATTAAAGCCTGGTTTTTGCCTACAACAACAACAATATATTTTCTACAACAACAACTCTTTAACAACAACAATTTACAAGTACAACAATAAAATTCAAAAAACATATTAATTTAACCGCCAAATTGAAATTCAAATTCAAATAGACTATCAGTTGCCGCCCTATCAGTTAACCGAATAATTTGAATTTGAATTTGAATTTGGCGGTCAGTTGCGCCAGTTGAGGCCCTCCTGCCGTTTCTGTTCGCCTGGTACTTCAGATTCAGAAATTGACAATTTTGTACTGAAAATGTCGGGATTAAAGCCTGGTTTTGCCTACAACAACAACAATATATTTTCTACAACAACAACTCTTTAACAACAACAATTTTCAAGTACAACAACGACATTCAAAAAACATTAATTTTACCGCCAAATTGAAATTCAAATTCAAATAGACTATCAGTTGCCGCCCTATCAGTTAACCGAAGAATTTGAATTTGAATTTGAATTTGGCGGTCAGTTGCGCCAGTTGAGGCCCTCCTGCCGTTTCTGTTCGCCTGGTACTTCAGATTCAGAAATTGACTATTTTGTACTGAAAATGTCGGGATTAAAGCCTGGTTTTTGCCTACAACAACAACAATATATTTTCTACAACAACAACTCTTTAACAACAACAATTTACAAGTACAACAATAAAATTCAAAAAACATATTAATTTAACCGCCAAATTGAAATTCAAATTCAAATAGACTATCAGTTGCCGCCCTATCAGTTAACCGAAGAATTTGAATTTGAATTTGAATTTGGCGGTCAGTTGCGCCAGTTGAGGCCCTCCTGCCGTTTCTGTTCGCCTGGTACTTCAGATTCAGAAATTGACTATTTTGTACTGAAAATGTCGGGATTAAAGCCTGGTTTTTGCCTACAACAACAGCAATATATTTTCTGCAACAACAACTCTTTAAAAACAACAACAATTTACAAGTACAACAACAAAATTCAAAAATATATTAATTTAACCGCCAAATTGAAATTCAAATTCAAATAGACTATCAGTTGCCGCCCTATCAGTTAACCGAAGAATTTGAATTTGAATTTGAATTTGGCGGTCGGTTACCGCCACGTTAGTAAATCGATAAATTTCGATGACGATACATATAAGTTTGGCAATCTAGCTATTTTATAGATATATTTGTAATTTAGCTATAAAATAGCTGAAGTGACAACTCTAATTTGCACCTCTTGCACTAAGATTAATTTGCTTTCTGCGGTTTCTGTTCGCCTGGTACTTCAGATCCGATTTTGGACTGAAAACGTCGAAATCGAAGCCTTGTTACCTACAACAACAAGTCTTTTACAACAACAAGGGCTACAACAACAACTACAACAACAAGGGCTACAACAACAACAACAAACTCGTTTGTAACAGCAAATTTGAATTCAAATTTAAATATACTATCAGTACCCGCCATATCTGTTAACCGACAAATTTGAATTGGAATTATCGATAATTACCGCCTTATAAGTTAAATTTGAATTTGGCAGTCGGTTACCGCCATGTAATTTATAATTTAACCGCCAAATTTTATTTTGAATCTACATAAGAAACGTTAGACCAGAAATGCTGATCTGTCAGAGATGTTCATCTACCTATGTTGCTTATTGGGGAAAAAACAGCATCACACTAGCTACCAGTGATTTTAATTTAGGTATATAAAATATATTATACATTTTCCATCCATTTTGTGGTTGTTTTATTTAATAAAATTCTTACACAATGTTTACATATATAGAGAAAGCGCCACATTTGCCTCTATGTGTTTTTTGTGTATGCGTATGTGTGTGTGAGGGACACTCCATGTCTTCCTGTCGCCGCCGCCATAAGTAAGTATGATTCAATCTTTAGTTTTGTTCTACACCAGAATTTAGAGTGGTCTATCATCCGGGCTGCACCACATGGAATTGTGTGGGTCCAGGGATCCTTATCTGGGCAGCGAGCATATCTCGCAGGAAGTGAGTTCGCCGCGATTGATGAAGGTGCAGTGGTTGCACGTCCATGTGTTGGCGTCCAAGTCCATTGCCTCCACTCCAGCCGCACCGGCACTGGCCGCCGCCCCGCCGCTGGGATAGCTGGTGGTCCCACTGCAAAGGGAGAAGGTACCGAATTAAATACATCTTTTCATTCCAGATATTTCTTTGCATTTCGATTATTCAAATGAACTTCTGCTTAAAAGCTTAAGCTTAAAACACATACATATGTGTGATATATGCTGACCTATTTTCAAGTTATTTTGCGTATAGATATAAAACTTACCCGCTGCCGCCGGAGCTGGCCTGAATAAGCGATTCGAGAAGCTTCCACACCTCCTCGATTTTAAACTTGGCTGCCTGGTTGGGGTTCTTGGTGCGCACCGCTTCCAGGAGCGGACCCATGTGTTGGCGCAGCGGCAGCATGTCCATCTTGTACAGATAGACCAGCAGATGGAAGTCCGAGATGGCCTCGAGGAACTCCTCCTCGCCCCAGGCGGACAGATAGCAGCTGAGGGCATTGAAGTCCTGCAGGTGGCCATCGATGTAGCGGTTCTCGATAGGAAATGGTTGGCGCTTGTCGTACTCGGTGAAGGTGTACTGCGGCTGCAGGGGCGTCGAGGCGGGCACATCCACCAGCAGATACTCGACGGGCAGGGGGCGCGCCAGGCGCTGCACCTCGTTTCCGTATTGGTCCTTTTCCTGGAATCAAACAGAGAGAGAGACACAAATCACGTTAGTACAGGTGTTAACTACTTGGCCCACTGACCTACATCTGAAATGAGGCCAGAGCCTAATAAAACACAAAAAACTACGGCTGACGCGCATCCGACTCTCTTTCTCTCTAAAAAAAAAGCTCTTTTGCAAGAGCAACCTGTTAACACGTTAGCTCGGCAATGACCTTGCCATCGGCACTTGTCTGTGCTCATTTAGCTGGCAGTCGATCCAAGACAGGCGGGTCTGGCAGAAGTCCAGTGTATGTAAGTCAGTCTCCCTGAAATGATGCTCTTAATGGCAATGCTTGTCTGGATACGTTCCGGGATCCCTCCAAATGATTCACAGTTTACATTTCTTGTTAGTCTTTACCGACGTGTTTCCCCCTCAACAGCACTTGGTGCCATAAAAGGAAAATTTACATTACACCAGGCGCTGGGTGGAGCCAAAGGGGCGTGTCTTCAGCGTAAAAATATTGCAGCGTGTTGCGGTTTAGGCATGTTGCATGAAAGCACTGTTCTCATAAACGCAATTACTGCATCCTGTGACGCGTCCACAAAGAAGGGGCGGCTCAGACCATGAAGCCAGCATGTCAACAATCGCCCCTTCGCGGCAGTTTATTCGATTGTAATGAAATGGCACGGATGCATCACTTTCATAAGCGTAAGTTAATTAGCCGTCGCCGGATGTCCGTATAGTGCGCCGGAGGACGAGGCATGAGTGTCCATCATGAGGATGGACAATGGCGAGGCCAAAAGGTACTAAGGAAGCCGATGCTATGCAGAATATGGACCATGCCTTAATTCTGTTAAAATACCAAATTGACTTGCAGTAGAACTTTCGTTTACTATCAGTGCATGCAACATAAATAATAGTTTTAAGTTTTAAATTCAATTTAATTCCCTAAAACTACATTTGGTCAACGGTTTCGGCCAATCTCAATTTTACAATGGCAAAACTTGGCGATAGCTAGCCTACGGTGAGCTACACAAAGGAAATGGGTTGAGGCGTTGCTTTGAACAAAAACCAATTAACGTATAATCCAAAATTAATTAAATTTAATATTATCTCAGGCAAGCCATACATATCTTGCTTTAGAAAGTAAAGCCTGAAGTACTACAAATAATCAACTTTCCTGGAAATCCTGGAAACGGTGTTGTCATGGGATTTACAGATAAAATACTAAAAACTATTGTTGACTACAGCACAATCCAAATCAAAGCTCTGAAAAGACAAAGGATCCTAATACTTCACATATATTAAACCACATTAATGTTAGTTCTTTATCTAGCAAGGATACAACATAAAATTCAGTATAACTAACAGAGTTGAAAGAACTAAATTTAAAATATCTTTGCAAATGAGGTAAGAAAAGTTTAATAAAAAGCATACAGCAACTATTTTCAGGCACCATTGAGTTATTTTTATATAAAATATTAAATGAAATAAAAATCTTACAAGCCAATATACAAAATTAAAATAACCTTGACATTTGCCATTTTTATTCTCCTCGACTATTAATTAGAATTTCAAGTTTTTCAACTGAAAAAGCTGACTTATATTTTTAGTTCTTACTTTTTTCCAACTCCTCTTAAGTCTCGTTTATATACAAAATCGGGTCGAGTTATATGCAAAATGTTTCACATGGCCTGAGGAGCAGAGAAATGCAGTGGCCTGCAGCAATAGGTTAGGGGAAGAAGAGCTCGACATTGACATTGAAAACGAGTAAAAGAGAGAGCCAGGACGAAGGACTGAAAGCTAAAGGAGCTTTCGCTCTCCGCTTATAAAAGGCATGTCCTGGCAGGCTGAGGCTGCAGTTGCCAGAAAATCGTGAACGGCATTAGGTCGACTTTGGCGGAAAAAGACTAGACTCGATTTGAAATTCAAAACGCGCTGTCCTTAGTTTCCAGTCTCGGTTTCTTCCCCAATTTCTGGCTATCATGCCCGCCCCCATTGGCAGAGACCTGGTGGATCATCATGTTCTGGACGGCGGTCGCCTCCTCGACGCTTACGTCCGAGAGATCGGCGGGATTGGCCAGTGCGGCGCCCAACTACCAGCAGCAGCACACTAAGCCACTACTGCGACCCACTGGCAGCAGCTGGCAGCTTAGCAATGCAGCATTCAAGTCCCGCCAGCAGCAGCAACAGCTCATGCAGCAGTACCAGAAGCAGATTCGCCAGCAGGAGGAGGAGGCGCTGCAGCAGGAGCAGCTATCCCTGGACCAAATTGCCCGCGTAGATGGGCAGACGAAAAAGGAGCCAAAGGACGTGAAGAAGAAAAAACAACAACCGGTTGCGAACTGCAAAAAGAAAATCAGTCTGAAGGGTGAATGTAAAATATTCAAGGCTTTCACCTCTTGCAAGTGCACACAGAAATAGAGAAATCAGTGCAAGTGAAAATCAAAATGACCAAAGAAAATATTTTTTGATGCATTTTCAAACAATCAAGTTCCTGTGCATTTCCAAACTAAAGAATTGTCAATACAAAAAATAACATTTATAAAGCCAAATAATTTACAGAAGAGTTAAATAAGATCTATAATCAAATGGTGAGCTTAAATTTTAATAAAAACAAGTGAAAATGCTACAGTGAAGTGTGATTGAAATTTATAAAACTGACGCGATTTCCAGCCTTGTGTTCATATCATTCCAAGGCAATATTTTTATGAGTTATTTACTTTGATATTTGCAATCAGGAGGGATTGGTTGTCATCATATCTCAGCGGATGCAGCCTTCAGGCGCCAAAATCGGCATTTGTCTGAGACTCGCCGCATTCCATTTCGCATCCATCAAAGTTTCCTTTGATTAGCACATGATTTGACATGCTGAAGGTTAATTTGCATGATTGAAGTCTGGCTGGAAGGCAGCAAGCAGCACATCAATCAGAAAAGGTCGCTTGCCCGCAAAAGTATGCTAATTAATTGTCAAACTCCATTCGGAAATCCCTACAGAGTGGAATGCGTGTGTGTGCCTTTCACTATTCGACAACGGAGTCCTTATTGTGCTCTGTTCGACCCAATGATTTCCTGTTTTGCAATTTCACACTTCCTGTGAAAGTTTGTAGTTTTTATGGGTGTGAAAATCAATTAATTGGCTTGGGTTCCCGTTTATTTAATTTCATCATTTTGCGATGAACAGGAATATATCAGATTCCATGGAGGTGCCAGAACGAATTTCTTTAGCTAATGGCAGATATAATCCAGTTTGATTTAAAACCTGTTTCCAAAGCGATAGGTAAAATGGAATTCTTTTCATTTCTCGACAGTATGGATTATAATTAATACGATTTAAGCAAGCTTTGCCATTCGAGAACGTATGATATGATAAAATATAATCGAACAACTTCCACTGGCTGGCTGTGGTGGCCAACTTGAAAGCTATGCATTATTCAAACGAGAGTCCCCATTATCGCAGAGCTTGCACACGGCAGCAAATACCGGAATACCCTTGGACTATTTCCCGGCAAATATGAAGTGCACCACACTTGACCATATGGCTAGCAAAATTCCCAGCACGTTTGCAGAGTCATTAAAGTGGAGAAACCAATTATTGCCAGGGCCCCCAGACTGCTTATGGCAATTAACCAAGGAGGGGCATGGCATTTGTCCAGCTCGGAAGAGGTGCTTAGCCTTCCACAGTCCTTCTCCATCGAAGGTGACACACAGGCCACGCAATAAATGTTTATGGGCTGGCATAAAAACAGAAAGCCGGCCGATGGCCATAGTCCTGGCCCTATGGCACTGACAATGCGCCAAAGGAGGAGGAATTGCGCCAAAACCGCAGCAAACCAGGCCCCAAATTGCCTATCGATTTGGAGACTTGTCCTTGCCACTTTTCTTCTACTTTTTTTGTGGGATTTTAAGCCGAATACTTTGCCTTCCCGACGCATTTGTGGAAATTGATGGAACAGGCAAATCTTGAAGTGTACAGGAGCATTAAACGTTAGGATTTCAGGAATTCTCTCAAATGCATAAGTTCTGCTCTCATAATATTTGTGAAAAGTTTAAAAGTTTCCAGTGTTAAGTACTGCCAGCTCTCCGGGAAGTTTGCATTAAAATTATTTAATCCAACAATATATTTAGGGGGGTTTCCCCGGCCCACTCAGGTTGCTCTGCATATACCAAAAACTGGGCGCAAACTTTTAATTTCATTTGGGAATTGCATATACTCGTGTATGTGCTAAGCGAAAGGCTTCGACAGTCGCTATAAATAAGTTGTGAGAGACGAACAAAAAATCCATATATAATTTCTATCTCCAGGTAAGAGTATCCCAAGGGAAAACCCCAGCAGACATTGAATTGTGCAACAGGCTAACCTTATTAAAAATGCATGCGAGAAACAAACGATGTCAATTTGTACGTAAACAAAATCCGATAAAACAAACAAATATTTCCTGATGTCGGTCTGAGCAATTTATCAAAACGCCAAAGCATTTAGGAAAGAGATTGTTAAAGTTTAAGTTTAAGACAGTCTGGACATAGTTACTACTATTAATTTGGAAAGGTTGATGAATAGTAGTTGAATAATTTAATATAACGATACATACATTAATTGCTACACATCCTTGTAAGCATTTAAAATTCTAAGTAATTCGATAATTTACTGCAAGCAAGCTTATTGATTACTTTAGTGATTACTCCCTAAATTAAGCCCAGTTTAAGGATGGACTTGCATTCCAGGATAATTGCGGCTAATTAGTCCATGAAAACGACACGTGATGCCCGGATTATAGAATCAGATTCATTTCCTCCACAAAATTCTATCCAATTAACGCCCCCGCTAGGCCACAAAAGCTCGGCAGTGAAAAAAAAAACAGATAGCATTTAAAGTGCAGAGAATTTTTGTTTTGTATATGTTTTTATATAGCGTTTAACACTGTCATTTGCCAGTTGTTCGTTTAGTAATTTGGGAACTGTGGGGTTAAACATGGGGTGTAATGTGACGAGTGTTAAGCTTGAATAACGCTGACAGACGTCAACGTGCGTGGGGTTAATTTATTGTCAATTCGGTGCCAAAAGCAAAATAATGAAGCCAACGGTCGACCATACAAATCTGTCACATTGTCTTTCCCGCAAATGTGGCAAAAGGAAAACAACAAGAACCTCATGAAAAGCTCACTTTTCCAGTGTGTTAACAATTACAGTAACAAAATTTCCATTCCAAACACACACTTCCTCCTTGAGAGACAAAACAAATGCCATAAATATGAATTTATGTCAAGGACTGCTGGCAGGAATTTTCTTTTTTACTTTACACATTCGCCAAGCAAGGTTGCGAAAAAACGTGGGCCAACCCAAAAACAAAAATAAAATACCACCAAAGAAAAAGGAAAATGTTTAAAATGAGCACTTTTTTTTCTTAATGCCATATGCGAGGAAGGAACTCCCTTCGATAATTGTTGGAGGCGACAGAATTTGCAGACAGCTTAAGGCATTTGCATAATTGCAGAACAAATGTAAGGGAAGTAGAATGGCAAAACTCCCTAAAAAGTGAATAATATAAACAGAAAAATAAAATAACCGTGAGGAATGCCCGAAACGTGTGCCTCACTGTCCAATGGCATGGAAAAAAAGTATTTAGAAAGTAAAAGACTGAAGAATACCAATTTTTCAACTATGTATCTTTGTATCCCATCTATAACAACAAAATGTATTATTAATTTTCCCAGAAAATATGTTTAAATCTGAATAGAGCTTAATGAAACCAAACACACAATTAGTCCCAGTAGTGACCGCAATTACCGCGATTGAATATTAATTAACCTGTTCCAACGAGCTCTCCCTCAAGCCTATAGGCCACGCATTCTGTTGATCCACCATGCTTGAGGTTTTCTGGTCTACACATTTGGTTTGGAATGCAATTCAATGTCCCTTGGGCAGGACTCCGGCTCCTGAGCGTCGTCAGGGGCACGGTGACTTGACCCCAGGAAGAAGGTAGCAGTCGCTTGCCCGAAAAAAGTTTGATTACACGGCTTAGAACAAAGTCCCAATAAATGGCACACGGCTGAAACTTTTTCAAGAATTAGGCCGCCGACTTACTTATGACCGACTAACGAGAAATTGTCTTTGGGCGCAGAATTTTCCGGGGGAAGGAGTTGACCCAGGAGTTGAAGTTGACCCAATCAGTATGGGAAAGTAAAAGTAGAAAGAATTTTTAAACTTACAAAGTTTCTTTTCGATTAGAAATCAAGAGTTAATTGACAACTTTAAAGGCTGATTTTGAGAAAGGAATTTTGAAGGAAACTTGCAATTTCTAATATCAATTTATGCAGAAAACTAAAGGTTTTATTAAATTTTGGGTGAGTTTAGTCTTGTGAAAGGCAAGCCACATTGAAATTTGATTATTTATTAATAGCGCATCAGCAGCTCGGTCAAAGTGCAAACAAAGCTCGGAACATCTGCTGATGATTTGTGCAAAACCGCAAATTAAACTGAAAGTGTTTAATAGGGTTGATTTTGGTTTTCCCTAGGCACTGGAAAAAGGGGGATTTAAATGTATAAATTGGATAAATATACATAGTTACATATACTGTACAGTTAAGATTTACAATAATTTACCATGCAGTTTAAAAGGAGTATTTAAAAAATGGTATGGCTAAATCGACTTGCCTAATGATGGGGTTTATACTGAAATTAATGCATTTTATACCCTGCCAGGGCAATATAATAAGTCAGAAACTTGAAAACTTATGAAGGAGTCATTTCCGATCATATATATTCTTGACCTTTAACCCCTTATCCTTTTTTGAAATTTTGAAACAAAATGCAAAAATTTATATTTATCGATTCAGCGTTTCTTGATGCTGTTTAAAGATTCTGACTAAAATTATAATAACCAGCAAAAAGGTATAAAAACGGACCATTTCTTTAAGTAATCAGTGTTTTTCAAACATTATAGTTCAGCCAAAAATGAGTTCATTTCAATTCGGAAGGCTGTTCTGTGCTAATTTCTATAGCGCTAACAAATCTGCATACTGCGTTTTTCAATTTAAAAAGTTCCATTTTTTGTCGAATTTTGACAATTTTAATGAATCAAAATGAAAAATGTATTTTTCCACAAGACATGGCTAGATCGATTCAGCTTTTCATTCTGATCTAGAATATGTATGACTTATAGGCTCGAAAATGATTCCTTCATGGTGTTATAAGCTTCTGATTAATACTAATACCCTGCAAAAAGGTATAAAAACTGATAATTTTTTTAAATAACCAGTGTTTTTCAAACCTCATAATTCAGTCAGAAATTCATTAATTTTAAATCGGAAAGCTGTTCTGTGTCAGTTTTAATAGCACTATCAACTCTGTATACTGCGTTTGTTGATGCTGTTTAAAGATTCTGACTAAAATTATAATAACCAGCAAAAAGGTATAAAAACGGGCCATTTCTTTAAGTAATCAGTGTTTTTCAAACATTATAGTTCAGCCAAAAATGAGTTCATTTCAATTCGGAAGGCTGTTCTGTGCTAATTTCTATAGCGCTAACAAATCTGCATACTGCGTTTTTTAATTTAAAAAGTTCCATTTTTTGTCGAATTTTGACAATTTTAAT